CAGCTGCCATCTGTTGAAACCACCCATGCAATTGGGTCTGAGTATCTTACTGAAAAAAAAATCACTGTTCTTATCTTTCCCTATTGGTTTCATGTTCAAGATATTAACATTAATTAGAAAGAATAATCTTGTGAGTCACTAGGGGATCAGAAAAGTTGGATCTTCTATTCACAAAATGGCTTAATGTGAGAAAATAGCTCAAACTCTACAGTCTCATGAAATTCTTCCAAATACTCCAAAATTTGCTATTTGGTAATGGCACAAGCAAGAAGAAAAATTACTTTTGTTCACTTCCTCTAAAACATCAAAAGTCAAGGCACTGCACAAGATTTTCAGGTAAATAATGCAACAGAATTTGAGTTTACCAGACTTTTCTCTGCATAAACTACGCAAACCATTTTCCCCCTACACTGTAGCTGCTCACTTTGTGGCAAGTGAAGTCAACTTTTTAATTTGTGGGATCTAGATATTAACCTAAAGTTCCTTACTATGGCAGATAGTTAAGCTCTTTTTTGTTTTGTTGTTGTTGCTAAAATTCTTAGATAGGATGAATATCTCAGAATCAAGCATATTGTCTGGTATGCCATTATGTAGTCATTCAGTGCCTATTAAAGTCCATATTCTACAGACTTAATACTATAAATATTTATATTCTATAAGTCTATATGTATAAAACATGCCAAGTGATGGTGGTTTGTTTTTTTGTGTGAGGAAGATTAGCCCTGAGCTAACATCCAATGCCAATCCTCCTCTTTTTTTTTTTTTTGCTGTGGAAGATTGGCCCTGGGCTAACATCCATGCCCATCCTCCTCTACTTTATTTGGGACGCTGCCACAGCATGGCTTGACAAGCGGTGCGTCCATGTGTGCCTGGGATCTGAACCTGCGAACCCCGGGCCGCTGAAGCAGAGCACGTGAACTTAACCGCTACGCCACGAGGCCAGCCCCCAGGTGATGATGGTTATGGGAAAAAAATAAAATAGGGTTGGGGGAGAGGGAGGCTTGGGCAAGGAGTTACTTTAGGTAGGGAAGGGCTCTGATAAGTTGATATTTGACCACACCCCTGAAGGAAGTGAAGGGAATAATCTGGGGAAAGTCAAGCTGTTGTGAGGCAACTGAATATCAAATGTGGAGTTCATGGGAGAAGCCAAAGTTGAATATAATCAATTGAAATAACATCCACACAATGATATCATTTATAATCATAAGACCAGATAAGACTACTGTTAAAGAACAAAAATTCAACCAAAAGGGTCTGGCCCCCTGGCGTAGCGGTTAAGTGCATGCGCTCCACTGCTGGCAGCCCGGGTTCAGATCCTGGGCGCGCACCGATGCACCGCTTGTCAGGCCATGCTGTGGCGGCATCCCACATAAAGTGGAGGAAGATCGGCACAGATGTTAGCTCAGGGCCAGTCCTCCTCAGCAAAAAGATGAGAATTGGCATGGATGTTAGCTCAGGGCTGATCTTTCTCACAAAAAAAAAAAACCAACTTAGAGGTTAAAGCCTGAACTTAGGCTAATGTCAAATAAAGAAGGGATATAATTGGTCTGCCACTGAAAAAAAAAAATTCAACCAAGTAAATTTAAAGATCTAACTGGCTTTATAAAGCAATTCATGAATCAGCATCCCATCTAACAAGTAGAGATACTCTGAGTAGTTGTACAAAATGGACAGTTTTTATAGGCAGAAGGAAGGTGCAGCAAAGAAGTTATTAGCAAAAGAAAAGAAAGAATTGTTTCAGGCCAGGGCATCTTCTTTTGGGGGGAAGGGAACAGCAGGGGTTTTATCATGCAGATTACCTCACTAATGCTAATCAGGAAATTTCAGATTGACTGTTTAAAAGTCACATTTCTGGGAGGAATTGTGAAACTGCAACTGAGTCTTGGTTGGCTGTTGTGGGGACCAATGACTCCATTTTGGGCCTGTTATTTCTTTTTTAACACTATAAAGTGTAGGTAGAAAAGAGACCCAAGGACTAAGCTCTAGGGAACTCCAAGATCTAGAAGTCAGGGGAATGATGAGGAATAAACAAATGAGACCAAGAATAACTGATGCTATGGTGAAGTAGGAAGAAATTAGGAAGACTGTGATACCCAGAAGCCAAGCAAAGAACCTGTTTCAAGAAGAGGGAATGACCCAGCTGAAATTATCTTGGGAGATAACACATGGACTGAGAACTGAGGGTTTGATTACACAATGCGGAAGTCATTGGGGAACTCAGCAAGAAGTGTTTCAGTGAGGTCACAGAGAGGAAAACTTTACTGGAATAGGTTTAAGAAAGAATGAAAGAAGTAAAAACTACTTTTTAGTAGTTTTGCTATACACTGAACAAAGAAATGGGGCAATAGTTGGAAGTCTAGATGTAGGGACAAAGGTTATTTTTTTATGATAGGATTATAATATAGTATATTTGTATTTTGATGGGATCACATTTTGAGAACCGCCAACCTACCATAATAAGTTCTACGCAGAAAATGTAGCTGATGAAAACAGAATAATGTTTCTTTAATATGGACTAAAAAAGCTAAAGTGCATAAAATCAAAGGCATGGATAGGCCAAACACAGAATTATTCACCAACTTATAGTATATTTAGAACTAGGATATGTAAGAACCACCTAAAAGAAGCATTAGAGTATGGACTGTAAAGTATTAAATTCACTACTTTGAGAGATACACTAAATAAAGCAGTATATTTTTGGAATATGCCACCCTAAAATGTAAAAAAATAAATAAATATACTCTGTAATTTTTCCAAAAAAGAAGACTGCATTTCAGATAACAGTTTGAACAATCAATCCTTCTAGAAAACATTTAAAGCACATTACATTAAAAAACACATACTTTGGGCAACCTTTCCTATCTTTACACTGACAAAGAGATTTTCACATATTGAGGTATATACGGTAACTTCCGGTTCAAAACTGATTCGGCTTGAACTAAAGAAGCCTGCCTTATGGCCTATGAAACATACATTGTACATCTGCTTTAACCATTAAAGAATGTACTCTCTCAGATAAGAATGCATACTTCCCCTCCTACGCCCTATCCGTAATGCCCTATCAGTAAGCTCTATTGGTAATGCTGGTATTAGTCCCTTTCCCAACATCAGGGCCATGTAGACCTGCTAATTTGCAACTGAATACCTCTGAAACTTTGATGAATATGTATCCTGGGTGTGTTTAATATACGTTCTTTGTTCTAAAAAGATATAAGACTACTGAAAACCATGCTTCTCCAGAACGCTGTCTTCCTTTGTGGAAACTGCCTTCCTGGGTTATAATCCTCACCCTGGCTCAAGTAAAACTCACCTTCTCTGTCATCTATAGAACAGGTATTGGTTATTTTGCATGACAGCACACTTATCAGAATATTTGAAATTTTACTTCTGTTTCTTGACTCATCATTACTGGAAATACAGCATGAGCTCTCAGCTTCAAATGAAACTGGAAAAACGGGCTAACTAATGATCTTTTCTTTGCATGCAATATTTTGATATAGCTTTGATATTTGTTCATAACCAAATCTGTCAAAAAATTTTCTTTAATAAACTTATAGACTGTGTATTTATGTATGGAATCACACAGTAGTGGGGGAATAAAGATCTCTCCAGTTCACATTTCTGTAATGGCTACATTTAGTTTATTATTCACTTGGTATCTTGAAATTAATTTCAATCAAATAATTGGCATTATGAAAAAAAAATCAAAGGACTACCATAACAATTTTTTCTTTTCTTTTATTCATAGGCTTTAATGACAACACTATTATAGGGGAAGGAAATGGGAATGTCTGTATCAATATTTTCACTCTATCACCACTTCAATCTAAGACAGAAGTTCCTAGCAAACCATAGGCGATTGCTCAAAAGAGGTCAAGTGTTTCATGGATACAAATGAGTGTCTGTTGCATTTAAACCAAGACTTTATTTAGAGGATAGGGTCAAAAACATTAATAATAACGACTTAAGCCTTTCTCTTCTTTTACCTCCTTCCAGGATATATCTTTTGCCCTTAGGGCAGCTGTTGGGCCCAGTCTTGTTTTCTGATTGGGATGGTAAGTAGAAGAGCCTGAGGAAAGACTATTTTGGTTAATATATTTTGAATGTCAAATTGGTATTTGACACATAGAAGACCGATCTTTATTTTGGTTACATTTACTTTTAAAAATAAAACCAAACAAACCAGGGTTGATTACAAGAAATAGCAATCCTGTCTCATCAAAAGCTCTGATAACTGGACAGGACTGCTATCAAGTTATCAGAAGTTGCTTTATGGAGGGAAAACTTTCAAGGCTGCTGAACTAGGATACTCTTACACCTTAAAAAAAGTATTGCGTTAAAACAAACACAAAACACAAGACTGTTTTATGATCCATTTGAATTGACATCAGATGACCAAATACTGTAAAGACTTACTCCTAAAAATTGTGTTTTGTTTTCCTAAAAATCCTCTAAATATAATCAGAGAATTGTGACAACTATTATATACACAAGAGAAGCTGCAGTGTTTTTGCTTAATGCTTGCATCATCACAGTGATACAACACAAATGGTGGTGCGATCCGATGCCAGCATCATAATATTCCAAGTGAACATTTCACCATTTGCTGTTTTTTTTTTCCTAGTGTACTTGAAGGTACTAGAAAACAATCTCACTAGAAAACTTATCTTCACCAGATAATGTTATGAAATACGATCGATTTTTGGGGGAACACTGCCTATAACTAAAGTTAAAGATACGGTTTTCCAAACAGTTGTTTTACTAGGGTGAACCGATCTAATCTCAAACAACAGGTGGTGGAGAAGTATTAAAGTAAAAAAAAGGTTCTGTGCATTTGGGAAGTAAGTGAAAACATCAGTATTGATTTTACCAAGGTCAAGGTCAACCATTTAGACAATTAAATAGTATATTTAATACAAATAAAAATACTTTATAAACACTATCTTTTACTTCAAACTTCTACCTTGTTAAAAATGAATTAGTAAATGTCCTCATAATCATCACAACAACAAATATTTTGTTAGTTATAAGGGCAACCTGAATTCAGTAACAAAAAATATATAATTAAATTATGTGTCGATATGAAGAAGCAAACAATTAAATAGATTATTCTTATTTTGATTTACTTATTCAGAAACCATTCAAGTCAAACACTTCATTTTCTACAGATTTATATTTTGCCCTCTACAGAACTAGAGAACTGAAGAGAAAGTGATTCTGCACAATCAGCCATAATATGTACAGATTCTGAATGTCTCCAGTTATTTTTGAAAAACTTAAAACAATACCTAGTACAATACCTAGTTGCTTCTAGTAGTCATTAGGATTTTAATTCTGTTCCTTGAATTATATTCCGAATCTTCTCAGCATCATTTTGTACAATTTTGTTGGATGGATCAATCTTAAGTGCAGCTTCATAATCCTGTAGGCCTATATTTATATAGCAATGATGATCAATAAAATAAATATTTTATAAATACTTGTGTTATCTAGACAATATTTTTTAAAAATAATAAAAAAACCACTAAGACCATGGTTCAGGACAAGTAGTAGGTTTTAAGTCAAATGCCCATCTTCGTACACATGGTAGTATCTCTAAGAGATTGCAGAAATTCTTCAGTAATTTTGGGAATAATTATAATGATTTCATTCAGGATTTAGTAAGAAGCAGTTATTTTAAATTCAAGTACAAATAAGCCAACAGCTTAAACTTATTATAGCATGAACAGACTCAAAACTCATATATCAAAAGGACATTTTTATCACCTCAATGAAAAATAAATGGCATCTTATTTAGAAATTCTAGATTTTAAAAACTAATTTTATATAATTCATAGACTACAGTTTGTGCTTTTTCTACAGTTATCATGTCTACAGAATTCCTTTGAGGAAAACTGGTTAAAAAGGAAAGCATTGTGGACTAGTTGTTAAAAATATATAACTGAATCTAAATCTTTACCCAAAAAAAAAAGCAGTTGGAAGAACTTCTTTGGGAGTAAGGAAACTTGAGTTGTTTTTATTTTTTTGTGAGGAGATAAGCCCTGTGCTAACATCTGCCAATCCTCCTCTTTTTTTGCTGAGGAAGACTGGCCCTGGGCTAACATCCGTGCCCATCTTCTTCCACTTTATATGGGACGCCGCCACAGCATGGCTTGACAAGCGGTGCATCAGTGCGCACCCAGGATCCAAACCGGCGAACCCCGGGCCGCCGCAGCAGAGCACGCGCACTTAACCACTTGCACCACCCGGCCGGCCCCAGGAAACTTGAGTTCTAAGTGCTACTGATTTGCCACTTCAGGCAAATCACTTAACTTCTCCAAGTCTCGATTTTCTCATCTTTAACATGAAGGGTCCAAAAAAGTCTATGATACTATAATTTCTAAAGAATACTTTAAAATGTTTCATTCCTGTCTGGCTAATTTTTATCCTCATGAAACTGGATAAGATACTAAGAAAAGGATGGGGCATATAAACCTAATTTGGATGCTTTGGTTAGAAAAATCTGAAATTTGCAGAAACAAGTTTAAAAACAAAGTCAGAAATAATAAAACTTCATAGGCTAGAGCCCACTCCTTTGCAAGGCATCATAAAGGAGTAGGCCTTTAGGCACTGAATGAAGGGAAGCTGAATGGGCATCTGGGTAGGAAGGTATGGGAAGAGGAGCACTGAAGATATAACTCTGGCTACTACAAAATTTTGCCCTTTGGGATAACATGAGTAACTGCGAATAGTCCCTAAATACATTAAAAATGAAAAAAAATAAAAACTAAATAAATGCTATGGCTTCTATACACATGGGGCTGAATTACAAACCTTAGTACAGTCTCACAAATATAAGTAATAATCATACATTGTGGTAGACAGTTATTTCTGAGCTTGTGTGTATGTGTGTGTGTATGACCAAAAAAGCTCATTTTAAAATTTCCATTATATCTTCAGTGACTCATTTATATCCTTCATCATACATCGTTCCACAGAAAAGTTGTCTGATACTACAGCACTTTCTTAGTTTTGTTCACATCTTGTTTTAACTCCCTTCTACAACAATGAATTAACAATGAATTTTTAAAACATGTCAAAATCATTTTTTGTCAGGTAAGTTGCAAAGAATAAATTAAATCCTATAAATATAAAATAATGGAGTCCTAAAAAGTCATGATCTTAAATAATCCCAATGACATTTTTTTCAAAGTATAACTTGGAACTTAAAACATTTCTATCAATTTCTTACCTTCTATATACAATTCTAGTTGACAGAATGCTGTTCCACGTCGTACATGTGCCTTCATTCTTGCATTAGCATTGTCTGCAACAGGTGGTGTCAATAATTCTAGTGCCTTACAAAAAAATAAGAAGAAGAGAAAGACATAACCTCCTAATTTAAACTCGAACGAAAATACAGTAAAAATATTAACTTCAAAATAAGCCTGGGGCCGGCCCTGTGGCTTAGTGGTAAAGTGCGCGTGCTCCGCACTGGCGGCCTGGGGTTCAGATCCTAGGCACGCACCGACGCACCGCTTCTCCGGCCATGCTGAGGCCGCGTCCCACATACAGCAACTAGAAGGATGTGCAACTATGATGTACAACTATCTACTAGGGCTTTGGGGGAAAAAAAGGAGGAGGATTGGCAATAGATGTTAGCTCAGAGCCCGTCTTCCTCAGCAAAAAAAAGAGGAGGATTGGCATGGATGTTAGCTCAGGGCTGATCTTTCTCACAAAAAAAAATAAATAAATAAGCCTCAATGGGGCCAGCCCAGTGGCAATAGTGGGTAAGTTTTCACGCTCCACTTCGACAGCTCGGGGTTCGCAGGTTCGGATCCCAGGCTCAGACTTAACGCCCCACTCATCAAGCCATGCTGTGGTGGCATCCCATACACAGGGTGGAGGAAGATGGGCACAGATGTTAGCTCAGGGCCAACCTTCCTCACCAAAAAAATTAATTAAATAAAATAAGCCTCAAGCCCTCACCCACCTAAATTTTTGGCTTAGCTGGTACAGCAATTTATCAAATACATATACTTATATTGAACAATTTAAAGAATTGTTCAATTGTTCCTATATGAGATTCATACCCTCTCCCTCAAAGTTATGATTTGGTTTGTCATTTGAAACCTACATAGCTTTACCTTTACTAGCAGGAATGATTAAATAGCATTTGTGGCCTTTTATATTCAAATTGGGTAATTCAGTTCATTCACTCATTCAACAAATGTTTGTACATGAAATTGTGCTAGTAAAAAGAAAAGTGGATCATAAAAATATTGTCAGATCTTCAGTAGCTTAATGAGATCAAAGTATGAGGACTGATTGTTTCCTCCATATCCTCAATCTCAAGGAGCCACTTAAGAGATTTTGCATGTGATTTTTCCCTTAAATCAAGTTACTCTGATATGGAAACAAGAGAAAAAACTAGAAGTTTAAGACAATGACACGATATTAGTAATGGAAATTAGCATATACTAAGTTACTCTCGTAACTGCAGGCCCTCCAGGACCAGTTCAACTGCCATATCTTACTTTCAGAAAATTTGCCAAGTCAGGTAGCCAGGGCATACGCAGAAGAAGAAATCTTGACCTGAAATGACCTTGGAACCAAAGCTTCTCCTCCCCAAAGAACCAATGGACCGTGACATTACCAGAACTTAAAAGTCAAACTCTTTTGAGTTTGAAGGTCTGTCATTCAGGAATATCTGGTGTTAAAATTCCTTCCTCACCTTACTATACAAGTTTAAAACCTCACCATAAATATTTAGAACCTTACCATAAATGCTTGAAGCCCACCAATCAAAACCTGTCCTGCCAGCATTTCCATGTGCCAGCCTGTTCTCCCTAACCTCTTAAATTTTGCCCCAAATCCTGAATCAGAGAGACAGATCTGAGGGCACACGCCCCCTGTCTCCCTGCAGATCAATCCTGCAGAATAAAGCTGATTTCTTTCCCAAAGGCTGATGCCATAATTAATTGGCTTTTTATGTGCACTGGGAAAGAAAACCCCAATTTTGTGCAGTAACATTCTAAAAATGGGAAAATGATTATGGCGACATCCTTTAACTGTGCAAGTGATAGTGGTACCAAGTGTTCTTCTTCTACCTTGCATTAAGTCTGCAAAACTTGAATAAGTAAAAGAGCGAGTACAAACTGACAACCATTTACTAATTTCCTTATCAACTTCAACTGATAACACTACAGTAGCAATTGATAGGGGATTTCTAATCTAACTTGAAGTCTCAAGAAACACCAGTTCCTTGTCCATTCAAAAAAATATTTTTTTCAGTAAAAAGATCGATAATAAGCAAGATGATTCTTAAAATCCTTGCATCTCAATTATTTAAATTTAACAGACAAAAGGGTATCATTTAAACCAATAAATAGGAGGATAACAATTTTAAAGCAACATATATAAATAAATAGATATACATACCTTAGAAGAATCTTCGATGGCTTTGTGCAAGTTTTTTAGTTTTAGGTGGCAAGCAGCCCGATTCAAATACAGTACTGGAATCTTATTATTTAGTCTGATGGCTAAGTTGTATGCATTAATAGATGCCAAATAGTTTTCTGTTGCAAATAATTTGCTAATGAGACAAAAACAGAAAAGGAAAACAATATAACATTGAAACAGAAACACAGAAAAAATACCTAATGATATTTGGCAGAGGGGATGGCTTATCTCCTTTTCTATTCCCTGTACAATGGACATCATAGGCTGCACTAGACTCCACCTCCCCTCCACATACATCAGCATGTAATCTGAATGGGACTGACCTCACCCCCTCCTCCAAGGGTCGCCATCAGTAGTTCAAGTCAGGAGGCATATTTCCATCCTCCTTGCTACAATGATTGACTTAGGGATGGGCTTATAACCTAAAGTCGTCTATTCAAAATGAAGCCTGTGACTGTTTCCAAAGTTGCAGGATGAAAAATTGGGGAAACTCCCCTTGCTGGATACAAATGATGAAAGCACACAGCCCAAATTGTTGCTGACCATTTTTAACACCATGGGAGGAGCTAGCATTAGAATAAAGCTGATACAATGGAATTATGAAAAGAATAAAAAGGCAGAAGGAAACTGAGCCCTTGGTGATAGAGTTAAGCTGATGGATCAAGCTTTACCTGAAATGCAGCACCCCTTTAGCTTTTTAGTTATATAAGCCAATAAATTCCTTTGAACATAAAGCCAGTTTAAATTGAGTTTTTTGGTTACTTGCAAAGAAAAGCATCCTAATAGATACACTCTTGCAGGTCAAATCTTCCAAAATTCTCTTCAAATAAAGAGATGTACATAATTAAAGGATTTATTTAAAATGTAAAGTTTCTTTTTTTATGTATAATTCCCAGAATTTCAAAAAATGATAAACATAATAGAAAACACTTTGCCAAATGTAAAAGTACCATATAAATAACACTGCATTCATGTCCAGTTGATTGTGCTGCATACTTTACAGATCTAGAATATTAAACACAATGACATCAAAAGTAGACCCATGAAAGCAGCCAGTAAACCATGAGTAAAAGGTAAAATGACACCACTGTGACATCTAACCTAAGCCTGACTCAAGTTTAAAATAACTAGCAGAAAAGCTAAGTCGGTGGGAACAGTTTACGTTTCTGAAACGCCTCCTATCAGCTAGGATGTTTCTGACCACAAGTAATAGATTCCCAACTCAAACTGGCTTAAACAAGTACAGAAATAAATCATCTCACATTAAAGAAGTCCAGAGGGAAAGGCTCCAATATACCATGCCCAACACAATCAGTTCACGGATGTTATCAAGGCCTCAGGTTTCTTCCGTTTCTTCATTCTACTGCACTCAGCAGCTACCTCATCCTAGGGCAGATTTTCCTCATGGGTGTGAGATGGCTGCATGGTTCAAGGTGCCACATTCAGGCACAATATTCATTAGAAGAAAATGGGATAGCATCTTCTGGTACACGCTCCTTAAGAGCAAGAAAATTTTTCCCAGAAACCTCCCACTTCACGTCCTTTCCTACCTCATTGACCAAAAGCACCTACTCTTAAAAAACTTTTTTGTCTTAAAAAGCCTACCAGTCTCTCTCTCTCCCTCAGTCTCCCTCCTTCTCTCTCTCTCTCTATCCACTTTTACTCCTCAGTACTATATATCGCTGCTTTGGAATATTTTTTAAAATTCAACAATATGACCATCTTTCCATGTTAATCAATATAGAGATATACTACTTTCGCAGCAATTTTTTTACAAAGCGTTCTCTCATTTGTGTCAGGATTTCTGAAACCAGTCTCTTCCTCCTAATGGACATTTAGGGTTTTTGTTTCCCAACACTTTGCTTTTATAAACAACAGTATAATACACATTTTTGTACATATATCTAAAGCAAAGAAACAAACAACAAACACCAGCAATGTAATGCAAACAACCCTGATTTGTTGAAGTCAATCAGAATTTATCCCTGGACTTGGGATAGGTTCCCCATCCTAAGTCACATGGGCAAGGTTTATACACCTAAACAAAATAGGGACTGAGCCAATAAGGATAAAGGGAGACAATAAATGTTGGCTAGATAACCTATAGTATCTACTACAAATCTTTTTTTTTAATTGTGGCAAAATATACATAACATAAAACTTACCATTTTAACCATTTTTAAGTGTACAGTTTAGTGGCACTAAGTACATTCACATTGTTGTGCAACCATCACCACCATCCATCTCCAGAACTTTTACATCTTCCCAAACTGAAACGCTGTACCCATTAAACAGTAACTTCCCATTCCCCCCTACCTTTGACAACCACCATTCTATTTTCTGTCTCTCTGAATTTGACTACTCTAGGTACCTCATATAACGAATCATACAGTATTTGTCCTTTTATAACTGGCTTAATACACTTTGCATACTGTCTTCAAGGTTCATCCATGTTGTAGCATGTGACAAGATTTTCTTACTGTTTAAGGCTGAATATTTTATTGTATGGATATACCACACTTTGTTTATCCATTTATCCATCAATGGACACCTGGTTGCTTCTACTTTTTGGCTATCATGAATAACACTACTATGATCATAGGTGTACCTCTGTGTCCCTGCTTTCAATTCTTTTGTATATATATCTAGAAGTGGAAGTCCTGGATCACATGGTAGTTCTATTTTTAATTTTTTCAGAAGCCTCCATAGTGTTTTCCATATTGTGCACCATTTTACATTCCCACCGTGTTCAACGGTTCTAATTTCTCCACATCCTCACCAAGTGTTATTTTCTGTTTTTTGATAGCCATCCTCACGTGTGTGAAGTAGTATCTCATGGTTTTGATTTGCATTTTCTGAATGATTAGTATGTTCAGAATCTTTTCATGTGCTTATTGGCCATTTGTATATCTTCTTTGAAGAAATGTCTATTTAAGTGCTTTGCCCATTTTTAATTTTTTTGTGAGGAAGATCAGCCCTGAGGTAACAACGAATGCCAATCCTCCCCTTTTTGCTAAAGAAGACTGGCCCTGGGCTAACATCCGTGCCCATCTTCCTCTACTTTATATGGGATGCCGTCACAGCATGGCCTGACAAGCAGTGTGTGGGTGTGCGCCCGGAATCTGAACCTGCGAACCCCAGGCCACTGAAGTGGAGCGTGCGCACTTAATCGCTGTACCACCGGGCCAGCCCCCCTTTGCCCACTTTTAAAGATTTTATTTATTCAGTTTTTTCCCCCCAAAGCCCCAGTAGATAGTTGTATGTCATAGGTTCACATCCTTCTAGTTGCTGTACATGGGACTCGGCCTCACGTTGGACGGAGAAGTGGTGCCTCGGGGCGCTCCCGGGATCCGAACCCGGGCCGCCAGCATCAGAGCGCGCGCACTTAACCGCTAAGCCACGGAGCCGGCCCCTGCCCACTTTTAAATTGAGTTGTTTTTTTGCTGTTGAGTTGTAGAAGTTCTTTATATACATTCTGGGTATTAACCCTTTATCAGACATATGATTTGCAAATATTTTCTCTATTCCATGGGTTGTCTTTTCACTCTGTTGATAGTGTCCTTGATGCACAAAAGTTTTTAGTTTTGATGCATTCCAATTACCTATTTTTTCTTTTGCTGCCTGTGCTTTCGATGTCATATCCAAGAAATATTGCCAAATCCAATGTCATGCAGCACCCTATGTTTTCCTCGAAGACTTTTATAGTTTTAGCTCTTATGTTTAGGCCTTTGACCCATTTTGAGTTAATTTTGGTATATGGTAAGTTAGGTACGTGTCCAATTTCATTCTTTTGCGTGTGGCTATCCAGTTTTTCTAAAACCATTTGTTGGATGTCTTTTCTCCATTGAATAGTCTTAGCAACTTTGTTGAAAATCACTTGACCATATATATGAGGATTATTTCTGGGCTATCTATTCTATTTGTCTATATGTCTGTACAAACCTTATATTAATATATACATTTGAAGAAAAAATCCATTTTTCATCTTTTTTTTTTTTTTTTTTGGTGAGGAAGATCAGCCCTGAGCTAACATTTGTGCCCATCTTCCTCTACTTTATATGGGACGCCGCCACAGCATGGCTCAACAAGCAGTGTGTCGGTGCGCGCCCGGGATCCGAACCGGTGAACCCTGGGCCACCGCAGCAGAGCGCGTGCACTGGGGTTAACCGCTTGTGCCACTGGGCCGGCCCCCATTTTTCATCTTTAATATAAGTTTACAGTTTTATAATGTAATAGTTTTATCAGAAAAATTCTCCCAGATTCTAAGGGAAGAAGAGCTTACAATGAGCAGTATTAAAAGAACCACTGTAGGAGGCATAACAGCAAGAAATATGAAGTATTACATTTTTAATGATATTTATATATATTAAAATATAAATCCAAATGAACATTACATTCTTTAAAGTTCAATACCATGACAAACACCCAAAAATTTGCTTTATGACTTTCATTATGGTTCTGAACTCAGAAATAGCTGAATTTCAAAAGGAAAGGGAAAAATATTAAACCTCTGTCTAAAGGGCAGTAGCCTTTGAACACCAAATTTAAACAGACCAGCTAACAGCCATTAAGTCAACGCTGATGCTCCAAATAAGGCAATGCCAGTGAAAAGAATTATACAAAAGCACTCACTCATTCAACACATGTTGAGTGCTTTTGTACCAAATGTACAGTGAGAACAAAAGAGACACGGACAATCGCAAAGACTCCTGTCATTTTTATGATAACTGATTGGTTTGCCTTTATAAAGAAAGAAACATTCTGACTGGCAATGGCCAAAAGGGCCAAACATTCTGTACAAGAGTTGAGTGTGGGAGAAGCAAGAAGAGGCAGGAGTGATAAGAAAGAAGCAATGTGGAGAGAAGTAAAGAAAGGGACAAAAAAGAGTTGTGCGAAATCAGAAGCAGTGGGGCTTAGAAAGAGCAATGGGGGCAGAGAGCAACACATATTCCAACAGAAGACAGAACAGTTCCGTTTTGTGGGCAACAGGAACTGTAACAGCCACCTGCCCCTCAAAGGACTTGGAAAGTCCTTGTTTCTTTCAGCATCTTATGTAGGTAGAAAACATTCTTGGGTATCTCGAGAGCTTCTAAAGCTGAATATCAGTGTGCCTTGGTAAAGGCACATCAACCA